CACCAACCCCGATAATGTAAACCACCGATGTCCCGCGCTCCTCGCTCCACATCCAGAACCTCCGGCGTGAGCTGGCTGTAGTGGTATAGTCTACTTCTACTTTTTCTACTACTCCTACTCCTACTCCTACTCCTACTCCTACTCTTATTCCTACTCCTACTACTACTACTACTACTACTACTACTACGACTACTACTACTACTACTACTACTACTACTACTACTAACTACTAACTACTAACTACTAACTACTAACTACTAACTACAAACTATTAACTACTAACCACTGGCTACTAACTACAACTACTACTGCTGCTACTGCTACTGCTCCTGCTCCTGCTCTTGGTCCTGCTGCTGCTGCTGCTGCTACTACTGCTACTCCTGCTACTATTGCTGTTTTTACTACTACTACTACTACTACTACTACTACGACTCCTACTGCTACCACTACTACTACTACTACTACTACTACTACTACTCCTCCTACTCCTACTCCGACTCTTGCTGCTGCTGCTGGTAACTTACAGGACACCTTGCCCCATTAATCTATGGAACCATTCCGCCCAGCTCGAGTGACAAATATCAACCCAAAATTCTTGAAATCTAATTTCCAAAATCCCCGTTTTTGCCGTCAAGCTTAAATCCCTATTCCTTAGCCCAAAATATACATAAAAAGTAGCGTACTAAAATCTTAAACTATAATCTTCGTAAAGTACTTTCCCCCAAATCCCAGTCCAAAAAACCAATATCCAAAACCTTATGCGATTACCCCTAAACCACAAACCCACGAGTAGTTGCAGCAAGCAAGGCACTAACGAGCGTGTCGCTAATGGAACTTAATATAATTGGAGTTCATCATGGAGCACAAAAGTCTTCAGGAACCCAGGGCTTCAACCCTTTAAACCCACTAAAGAAATAGGGGTTTAATGCCCTTTAAACTTTAAACCCGCCAAAAAAATGATCGTTTAGAACCTTTAATCCCACTACTTGCTTGGATGTTGCTCAACACAATGCAAGTGGTGATGCTTTGGAGCCCCTTAAAATGTTTGACGACCCTCAACCCTTTAGCTCTAGCGCCTAGGCTTCGCCTAAAACCGCTGTTATCGATTCTGCGTACCTGAGACCAGCGACAGCACCCCGGCTTCCAGAAACAATCGGCGACCCCAGCTGGCGCCAAGCTCAGTCGCGCCTTCTCCAACTTGGAGATGCTGTTCTAAATGTGCTCATAGGCATGTTTATGGCGTTTCCTGGATGTTACAACATCCCATAGCGAATTTTTGAAGGTGGTTGCCCCAAGGGTTTTCCAGTGGCTTCTTGCTTCAGGAGAAAATGCATGAATCCGACATTGTATGTCCAATTCTGTTGCACGTCTTTCGAAGCTTTGTCTTGTGGGAGACCTTACACGGGGCAGAGCTGTGGCGCAATTGAAAGAGGTGATCGCTCACAGACGCCGCATGCGTTTTTCAATTCTTAAGTGACGGTGGTATTTCATAGTACTCATGGCCTCGATGCCACGTAGCAAGGTCGTGCATTGCTCGCGGATGGAAGATGGTGTCTCGGCCAAGTTGGACTTGACAGTGCGGTCGGAGTGAAAAGCTCAGAGGTGTGTCAGCATGTGTGACCGAAGCCCTCTAGGCGTGTCGCATTCTGAAAAGCATGTCCGCTGTAAATGCCACCCCAGCACTGCCAAGGAGAGCTCCTGTGTGTTTCAGCCCCAGTTTACTTCAGATTCGACCGGTTTTTGCAAATGGGCCACAGCATGCGTGCAGATCAGACGCGGGCACGAGTGCAGCAGGGCGGATCTGAAAGATCACCTCTCCAGATGCTCAGAGCTGATGGAATTCACATACACAGGCCTGAGGATTCTAGATAAACTAGTGGCGGCTATGTTCACTTCGCGGTCTGTGCTCGTCACTGTGTTTCCCGTGCATTGGTGATCTGTGTGCACGTCTTTTCAAGGTTTGGCCCATTCCCCGCTTCTACCAACATTTGGAGGAGCTGCCGAGGGCCCAGCTGCTGGGCGTCGCGCACACTTAGCGACATCTAAACCACCACCACCATTATTGCCACCGGGTGGGTGAATTTCACTTCCCTAACCATCATCCGCCATCATCGGCAGCGAGCTGACCATGACGAAAGGGCAAGCGCAGCAGCATCTACTACAGCATCACTGTCCGTAATGCCTGATCAAAACACTGACAGTAGTAAGGAGAACACGTCGAAAGAACGGGCCGTAAAACGAATGGACCGGCTTGCACATCAGCGATGCAACGCAATGTTTACTACCTCCAGTCTGCAAGTGTGCAGCAGGGTTAACGTCGCTGTTTACCAATCCTACCCGGTGACATGGCTGGTCAATAGGACGTAACGTGGATGGCAACGTACGGAATTGTGCAATCTCTTGCTAAAGTTGCCACTGCAGGCGAGACCACTACCAGCAGCGTTGTGATCAAAAGCGCAACGGCCCTCAGAGTTTTACTGACCAGTCAGGACATGTCCGGGATTCTGCGCATCTCTGCACATCCCGAATTCATTCCTGCTCCGGACCCGGAGATCAAATCATTTCACTCCAAGCCGTCAGTGCAAGACCGCACCGAACCTGTACATTCATAAGCAGCGCCACTGCAACACTTGAGTCTCAGCAGTGCAAAGCCGATGCGGTTTCCCACGAGTTGAAAACACAGCAGTGGCACTGCTTAAGGACTTGGCTTGCCGCTGGATGCCCATCGGGGCGTTTCGATGGCATGGGAGGTGCAGCGCAGCCATATGATTGTTGGACGGGCCATTGCCCAGACATGCGTAGATGAAGTCATGCACTGTGTGCACAACCTTTATGTTGATACAGCTGGCCTTTACAGAAGAAGTGAGTCTGGGAGGAGTAGTAGCGTGGGTTTCTGCACACCATGGAGGACGCGGTCTCTTCCCCCACGCGCCTCGCAGAACCGCAGAGGCGCGCGAAGCAGAGCAGAGCAGAGCACAGAGGAGATTGTAGCCGTGGATCTCTGAGAGGCAGTCGGACAACGGCGATGCATCCTCCGACGAGTCAGACGCCGACTAGCCCAAAAAGCGAGCGCGGCGCCTGTCCTCGGCCCTATGATCCCTTGCAGAGTTTCTTCCGTGCTTGCAAGTAGGTCCGACACTGGCAGCTGGAAAACCGGATCAGCTTCTCATTCTGCAAAGTGTTTACCTTCGACAGGCTCCCTTAGAATGGCACGATGCATGAAGAGATAACTATCCATCGCTACTGTTGCAGCAGGCGTCCTCGCCCGAGTCATACTTTTGGCGTCCCTTTAGTTTGGCTCAGCTTGGTTCGAAAAGTTAAGCAGAAATCATGAGCACATTGAGGTCGAATCTCCGTGACGCACTGCCATAAGAGACTAAAGAGGCAGCTGATAGACTCCAGCGCGGCAGTGCTCGATGCACAAAGAAGCTTGAGGCCAAAAGCGGCTGGCCCCCAACATTGACGCCATCCAGATTTGGCTTTAGTTGGACATGCGGTCCTTTAGCGAAACCAGGACCTGTCCGAGCTGCCGGGATTGGCCTCCAAGAAACCAGGGACCCCACAAAGACCTGGGGAGCAGGAGATTTGGGGGCTCGATTCCGACTTCCGGCGGCTTCCTTGAGCCCATACGACCACGACCAGCTGGAGGCACAGCAGAACCGTGGCGAGAGGCCGCTCATCAAGGACATGCAGGCCGTTTTTGGACGGTGCAGACCTGGACCCTGCCTTCTTGCTTGTTGGGGGTGCACGGTCACACCCACAGCCTGCGAAAACTCTACGCAGCGTGGAACGAGATGAGCGGGAGGATTCAAGGTTGTGAGAGGTCAGCTGTGACGCAAGCCTGCAACATTAGATCTGAGGGCTCTAGTGTTCCATATCGGGGAGCACTTGCTTGCTGCCCGGGGCAGCTCGGTAGCCAGACTGGTTAGCGGCATCTGCTGGCGAAGGAGCAGCATCCTGTCTGCCTGAAAGCCCCCATCACTCCTGCTCCGTCCGTCCCTGACAGGAGGGGCTCGGGCGAGCATGGTGCAGGGACGGCAGCCTCAGTCCCATGCAGAGCGGCCTGGCACAGGCCCCCATAAGGTTGGTCCATGCAGGAGGATGTCCCTTCCTTTTCGGTGCCACAGCTACGACCGGGTGCGTGCAGTGAGGAGGCATCTGCGTAATGTGCCTTCCAAGATGACTCGCCCGAATCCAACCCTATTATCCCTAACTTCCAGTACTTCGGTGGCTTGGCAGTGTCTTCGTTCGAGTCCTTACCCGAGGGGTTGCCCTTCTTGCCTGGGCCTTTTCCCCCTTTTCAGGTCCACTTGTCGCCCTGCTGCTCGTTCTTCCAGGTCTGGAGCGGGGTCCACGATGGCGTCTTGCCCTTGCCTTTGCCCTGCCAAAAGGTTCGGATCTTGTCCTTTTCCTTTGGGCCTGAACTTGCTGAGCATGGCTTTCTCAAAGACCTCCTTGCCCCGGGCTGTTTTCAAGGTGTCTCCAGCATAGACAAGTTCCGCCGACATGAGGACCCAGTCCGAGGTGGTGACCTGCCCGCCATGTCCTTGCCCCAGAACCAGTCATACCACTCATCAAGATCAGGCTTCTTGACATCAAACTGGCTGAAAACGGTCTGGAGCCTCTCAAGCTGCCGCCTTGTGGTGCTCCGCTTCTTCCTCCTATTTGTCCCCTCCGTCCACAGTTGTTTTTCGCCCGTTCTGAACGGACGCTCATCCACTTCACCGCGGACATGATCTGGAATGATCTGTTTGGAGGACAACCATCCTATCTTTCCGGATGTCTTCAAGCAAGCGTCACTGCCCTGAAATTCCCCAGCCGGAGGCCTGCTGCCGTGCAATTTCTCCAGTCCAATAGGAGCTGCTTGCGATCGCAAAGTGCTTCAAGGCTGCTCTGGACCGCAGCGCCCCCGATGGTGTGGCCGATCCCAGCGTCGAGCTGCTGGTGCAGAGAGGCTTCCAGCAGTTGCGTTGGCTTGAATCAGGCACTGCATCAGGTGCATGGCTGAACTTGGATTTAGCTTCGGTGTAGTCGTTCTCGCCACAGTGGAGCTCGAGTGCGGAAGGGGAGTGGCTCAAATCAGCACGTGGTTAGGTTTCGTGGTAGATCCCGTGGGCCCCACGGTCCAGATGGCCCGAGACAAGCAGCTCCTGGTCATGAAGCTGCTGGGTGACCTCGTCAGCGGCAAGGTCTTCATGCACAAGGAGATTGCCGAGGGACTTGGAAGACTCCATGGGCAACAACCTGCTCTCTGTCGAATTGCCACCTCCACACTTTCGCTCGAGGGCAGGAAAGTGCATGTGCTCAGGGTTTCCTTTCCGCCTTAATTCTGTCGTGCTCGTGTTTGCTGCCATTGCATGTTGCCGTGAGCCTCTCTTGCTTGACATGATGGACAAGCACATGCACGCGTAAAAATCACCGTCAAGTCACGTCCTGATTGGAAATCTGACTTTCAGACGAACGATAGCTCATCAACCGTGGGTCTCGCAGTTCCGGACTGTACTCTGAAAACGTCGCACAGCCTTCTCCCGATGGAGCCTGACAATTTTTGGGCTCTGGATTTGACAACATGCTTATGTGGAGTGGCAAGTGGACATCAACGGTCAAAATCCACAACCCAAACAAAAGAAGGAAATGAGCCAATGTCCCGTGAGCCTAGTGACTCGGTTTTAGTAATAAATCTTACGGAACAAATGCAATTTTTTTATTCTAAATGCATTCTATTTTTTGAACATAAAATTTCTTTTTTCTTTCTATTGTAATTTGGCAAAAGATTTTCATATATAATAATATAAAAAGTCAATTAGAGTGGATAAAATACTCGTTGATTTTGAATTATATCTTCAAATAGTTAATTGGTATTAAAAAAAGTATCGTTGGATACAAGGCAAAATATTCTTTTTTCTTGTCTAAACTATATTATGATTTGAATTGAATATTTGGATAATGCTGAAAAGGATCTATCGATATAACTTATATAATAGAATAAATTATTATTGAAAATTGATATTATTTATTTCGCTGGATTAATTATAATTTTTTTCATGAGATTTTCGTTATTTAATTGATTTCTTAATTTTGATTCATTTTTCTTGATTATAATTTATTGATATATTTCATTTGATTATCGTGCTAGATATTATAGATATATATGGGGGTTTCTGAAAATAGGGAAACTCTATTACGGTACTCTGAATAGTAGGATCTTTATTATAAGGACCCTAAAATAAGGTACTCTAATTTCGGAAAGTCCCATATTTAGAATATATTTTTTATAACTATTAGAAGACTTGGATATATTAAATTTGAACTTATTGATAAATTCTATATTTGCAGTAGTTTTTTTCTAGAAAATGATTCGATTCTATGTATTTGGGTATTAGATATATCTTATTTGTTATTGATTTTAGATTAAATTGTCGCTTCGAAATTTTCTTGTGCTGAACTTAACGATCAAATGCAAAAAAAAAAAATAATATTTTTAATTCTTAATAGATCTTATTTATAAAAATATAATTTGTCACTAAAGATGGGAGAAAAAATAATTGTTTTTCAATTATATTTTCAAAAATTGATCTTGATAAGAAGAAGTTATTTCTGTCTAAATATCAAAATATTGAAGCGTTCTGATACATTTAAAAATATCGTTAATATTCTAGAAAATTTAATATGATTTCTTTTGAATAGAACTCATAAAGAAAACCTATTGATATAATTTTTTTTATTTCGTTTATTATAGAAATTTGGCACCGCTTATTTCATAATTAATAAAGTCGTCGTTGATGCTGATATTTCAAAACCATCTAATTTAATTCATAAAAATTTGAATAGAAATATAGCGCAACGATCAGCCTATATAAGTTTCTTTTTTCAATATTTCACGGCGATTTTATCAGCATCTCCAAAACCCTGGAATAATTGCGAAATTCTCATGCTTATGCCGTAATCGTTTAGGTCCATTCGGCAAAGCTTCTAGCAGTATTTGACAGTGGTTTTGAAGCTGGTCGCAAAAACGAAAATATTCGAGGAGTTGATCATGACTGCAGGATAGTTTTTGGTATGATATTGTTTTTGCTCAAAGAAATTTGAATTAATTCATGTTTAGGCTCCCAAGGAAATGAATATCAGGGTCGGTACAAGCGGGTGATCAATCTATGAGTGTCTCTTCCAATTAGACTGAGCTGTTGGCAAGGAGCAGCGGCCTAAGCACACGTGAAACTGCAGCAATACAACACGCATGTTATATGACGCGGAAGCTGCGGAATATGTGTTTTCAGGTCATTTGGTTTGGGCATATACGCTCCGAGGGCTTGAACACAATGGCAATCTTTGCCTTCTCTTGCAACTTCGCAGCAGGCAGCCCAGATGAGAAACCGTTAACAACGAAAGTCCTGGGCGCCGCTCCCGGTACCAAGGAGATGTCATGCATGCGGCCAATGCGACAGTAGCCTGGCACATCGAATTGAAAAACGACGCTGGCTTTTTACGAGAGCGACAGGCTTTTGTCAGGAATGGAGCATTTGTGTCTCGCGTGAGGGAGTCGGAGACTTGCAATGGGTTTTGCCAGCGGCAGCCATGCGTGTCGAGCGTGTGCCCCTGCTGCATGACTGCTGCACTGTTCGCGGTCTGCAACTCCAGCAGCTCGGCTAGCCATGGCAAATACTGGGGAGGCCCAGTTTGAAAGGCACCTTTTTTGAAAAGGGTCCCAAAAGTCATCCCGACGATTCTGCAGGCGAACCTAATTGTGTACGTCGGTTTGCGACACGGGCAAGCCAGACGGTGCTTGCAGAGAGGCTGAAAGCATTCAAAATAGCTTGCCGAGACGCCAAGAAAGTGGGAAGAATGCCATTTTCTTGTCCTCGCTGCACTGGTTCCCACTTGGCGCCTCTAAATAGGAACTTAGGAGCCCTTCCGGAAAAGGTCGGTGTCTGAATAAGCCGCTGATATGGAAATGGAATTTTCTTGTCCTCGCTGCATTGGTGCCCAGAATGTGGGAGCCAAGCCGAAAATGATCGATTTCCTAATAAGCAGCGAATCA